GAGGCAGAGAGCTTGGTCGATNGAAGAAACCGGCCGGAATGTCATCTCTTCCCGGAATTCAATTCGCACCACCCGGCGCCGCACCACAGCCAGACGGGATGGGTTCGATACTGCCAGGAATTGGGGCTCCCCAGCCCCCACCCCAGCCGGGGTTTTCCACTTCAATGCCGCAAATGGATCCTGGGCGTCTAGCAGCTCTTTTGTCCAATCAACCGCCCCCTCAGCCGAACAATTTCCCTCCCACAACGGGACTGCCAGGGTTTCCCATGCACCCTGCTATGTCGGGGACACCTCCGGTGAACGTTGACCTGGCAGAACTGCAGAAGCAGCTTCTTTCTCAAGGAATCTCGCTGCCCCAGAACTTTCCGCCGCCAAATTTTCCTGGCATGCCCGGGGGCCTTCCCGGCCTGCAAGGGAGCAGTACGCCCGATCACGGATATGGAAGATGATTCCAGCTGTGGTCCATAGAGCTCATAACTTGGTTGGTCTGGATAAGAGGCAAAATGGCAGGTCGCTAGACTTCTGGTGTGGCCTTGATGGCTTTCAGCGGACAATATGTATTATAGTCGGTTTCGATGAGGACCTGCGCTCTCGGCCATATTTTGTCGATAAAGCCGTCCCTGCTATCGACACAGCAGGTAAGGGAAATGTTATGTGATCATGAAAGTATCCCGATTAGGCTTCGGTTTTGCCTTCGGTCATAATCCACCTGGGATAGGGAAGCTAGATAGGATGAGGACCAACACATTGATACCACCCCACAAAAGGGGGATCCAGGTCGACATTCTGAAATTACCCGCTTCGTAAACTGCACCTAAGCTATCAACTAGTCAGTTCGCTGCCAGTAGTATGGAACGTAGCATCAAGAGGACTCACACGAGGCCAATGATGCTCCCCGCTAAAAGCGCCTCTAATCCACCTATGACCATGTATACCAAGGGAACTGCAAGACAAGCCTTCCAGCTCCGGCATTGCATGGCCACGGCCCATGCCGCCACCAGTAGATGGCTTGCGCCATAGAAAATCAAGGTCCAGTATAGAGTAAAACGCCAAATATCCTTATTGTAGTAGAGATAGTATGCACCGGTACTGGTCGTCGGAAAGAGCTCGTAGAGGGACGGAAAAGNAGGCGTTTGATAATTGATGGGAACCCGATTGTCGGCCATTTGGCTGCGAAAAGGCTACCTGGACTGCCACCAGGATTAGTGTAGGGTCATAAGACGAGCACGACCAGGTGAATCGGCCGACCGCGACTGATGCGGACATATACCACGGAGGCCAGAAAGGGTCGCGAAGCTGATAAGATCCGCTCGGAACGGAGGAGCTCGTGGTTTGCACTGTTTGCTCTCGGCGCAACGAACCTCGGCAGGTGATCTGGGGTTCTCCGCGGCAACTGGAAGCAGGTGGTTTCCGTTATCTCCCATACCTCTCTCTCTGTCAGTCTCACTTGGGTTGTGTCTAATGTCCACTTTCGTGGTTGCACCATTGACGCCCATTTGACATTATGGCGACTGAACGCTCTTTGGGCGCTCTTCTGAGATCGCTTCAATACTCATCTGACCTTCAGGATGTCTTCACGTATGATAGCCTCCCCCTCTCCGCTTCTCGGCTGCGCGGACGCAACTGACCGACTTCGCTAGTTTGCTTCCCACGGCGACAAGCCTTTTGACCGTTCTTGGAAATCCTCTGAATATTACTCTGCTCGCATCGCAGCTGCTAGCAACCCCAGCAATTTGGGACCGCCCTGTCGATCTTCTCACGTGTCGCAAGATCCTCAGCATATTCAACACAGCCGCCATCGCGATAGTACAAAGCGAAGCTTCTGACGATTCGAGGACACCCTACACAAAGGCTAGGAAGATTGAACGTGAGGACTGGGTTAAAGCTGTTGTCAATGGAGCGGATGATAAGTCGCCGCGATGGAGACACACAATCTTGATTGGGGGGTTACTGCTGGGATTCGAGGGACAGAACAGACAGGGGTTGCCGTGGCACGTCCGGCGTAAGTTGGAAAGGGCGCTTGTGACGGCTGCACAGCTTGCGCTCGAGGAGCTGGATCCCCGGAATGAGATTGACGGTCGTTGTGTCACCATGGTTCTGAACTACTCCTTTGAACTGCTATCGGACTCCGAAAGGAGCAAGCTTGACTACGACATCTTGCTACCCGTCATGGTCAATGCCACCTATGCATCACCTGAAGGCTTGGAGGGAGGATACTTCCTAGGTACTGTGGACAAAGACATTGTGGAAGCCCCTGGCAAGCAATTCCAGTGGTTGGCACAGTCTGACACGTTTGCTCGTGTGACGGCGATCTCATCTAGTCCTCTCGTGTCTGCCCTAGGGCCTCTGTCCCGGCTCATGGCGCATGCCATTGAAAACGCAAAAGACCCTGGTCTGGTTGCTCAGACTTTGGACCACATCACGGACTTTGTGCGTACACTTATGGTGCAGTGGCGGCTCAACAAGTTATCGGAGGTCGACAAATCTGAGGAAGCTGAGTTCCTTGACGCCGAGTCGTTGAGGACCACCATCCCAGGACTTTGGAGACTGCTTCGTAATTGCTTATATTCCATTGTCATTGTTCTCCGGGCTGTCCTGGGAAGAGTGATCAACGACCCTGTATTGGCTGCTCACCGCAGTGCTCCGTTCATATCCATGCAGGTTCTCCATATTCTGCGGAATCTCTATTTCATATCATCCCGCATGGGCCAGAACGCTTCTTCGCAGCACATGTTCGTGACCTTAACAGCCGTGGATATCCTCTCACATTATCCCGATCTAGCCGAGAATTTTCTGAGAAGCATCAAGCCCAGTGAGCTCGGCCAGATCCCCGACCATCCTATCGAGCGATGCCTGGACCTGTTCTTCCTCAACACGTCGGAGCTTTTTACACCCTTGCTATCACCCGCATGCAGCGAAGAGCTTCTCGTTGCAGCAGCCGTTCCTTACCTTCCAGCAGGCGGAAATAACCATCTCCTCGAGATCTTCGAAGCCGCCCACAGCACGGTCCTAGCCGTATTCGCCATCCCGAACAACGCCGCCGTAGCAGCCAAACATCTCCCATTCTACATCGACAACCTATTTTCTGTAAGCTACCTTCTCACCATCCCTAGAGTTCCCCAGCTAATAATCCTTTCCAGGTATTCCCCGAAAACCTCTCAGCCCGTCAATTCCGACTAGCCTTTAAAACCGTCATCCAAGTCACGGCACCCCCCTCCCCAATCCGCCAACACCCAGCGTCTCCTCCCATCCACCCTCCTCGAAGTTCTNTACGACCGAGCACTCCACGCATCCGACCAACTACTCCCCGAACCAACATCGACGCAACTCGAGGGCCCCGACCTCGGCAAATCCCCGCCCGTGTCGGAACAAGCAGCCCTGACCCTCGCGCTTATTGACAGTCTCTGTTTNTTGCGCGTCGAANACCTTGAGGAGTGGCTTCCTCTCACGGCGCACTTGCTCAACACCATCAAGACCCCGGATATGCATAAGCAATGCGTGGAACGGTTCTGGGAGGCGCTGAGTAGCGGCGAGATGGATGTTGAACGGGCGCATTTCTGCGTCACGTGGTGGAGTACGCGTGGTGGGAGGGAGCTCGTTCTTTATGGGGATGACTTCGGGGCCGATGCGGAACATAGGCATGATGAGGCTGAGGGACAGGGACAGGAACAGGGGGCGTATATGAGTGGTGCTCTTGGTGCGGTGGCGAGGGAGAGTAAGCTTTAGCTTCTCCCTCTGTTATCTGTGGGGTTGTATATAGGGGTGTGATTGTACAGCATGGGTCACGATAGCCACGGCGTCCACGGAGCATTTATACCTTTGCCATTTAGCGATGAAATCCACTTTTCTTTTACTGCATATTATATACTAATCACTTGATTATACAATCCCTCCATACCTCCCTGTCCAGTACTCCACGAGAAACAAACAATATATGTATCATATCAAAGATCCCAATCCAAACAATCAATGAATCCCCGGAATCCCCACCCAACTCCTCTTCCTATACCGCTCATACTCCTCCCCAAAGAAGGCAACCAGGAACTTCTCCTCCCCTATCACAAATCGATTAGCACACACCCCCAAAACCAAAAGCAAGAAAAAGAAGTAGGACTTACTCCAAATCCTCCCACTAAAAAACCTCCACAAGACAACCGCATACGCTACAAAACACACCCCATTCCCAAGAACCAACTGGGTCCCCAACCCCCACCAAAAGAACCCAAAGTAACTCGGATGTCTCAACACACTATACACACCCCCGGTGACAAGCACATGCCCTTCCCGTCGGGTAACCTGCACCGTATGATTAAAGTTACTGCCCGCCTGCGCCATGGCCACGCTGCGGATCGTCTGGCCCACGACCATCAGCAGTAAGCCAACGGCTACTTGGTAGGTCGTAAGCGAGGAGGGGAGGTATAACGGCACCGGGCGGGCGGTGAAATATGTATGCATGAGGAGACATTCGAGGATCGCGGAGCCGTGGGCGATGTTATAGGCCCAGCCGTTGGAGGTGAGGAGGTAGGCGGAGACGGTGGCGAAGTGGGTGTTGTATGCGGCGGTGGTGTAGTATTCGAGGAAGTGGAAGAGGGAGAGAGAAGAGAGGAAGAAGGGGATGCGCCAGAGGGGAGTGTATAGGGGGTCGTAGAGGAGGGAGAGGATGGTTAGGGTTGTGGAGACGCCGAGGACGGTGCCGAGGAGGTAGGCGCGGATGGAGATGGCGGAGAGGGATTTGGAGCCGTTGGGGAGGATGGAGGTGTCGAAGGTGGTGGTGTGGTTGTGGTTGTTGGTGGGTGGTGGTGGTCGGTATGGGCGAAATGGTGGTGATGGGGATGGGGAGGGAGAGGGGGAGGGAGGGGAGTGGGACATTGTTGTTCTTCTTGTGGTGGTGGTGGTGGTGGTTGTTGTTGTTGGGTGCAGTGGAGGTTGATGTTGGTGGTGAGAGAAGATCTGCTGGTGTTGTCAAGGGATTGTCATGCTGAAGAGGGATCTGGGTGATGTTTATATGCAGTTGTGAACAATCGCGGGAGTTTTGGAGAACAATATTAATTGCGATCCAATGCGGAGGAGCTCCGACGGAAAGCCTTCTGATTGGTGGGTTGCGGGTACTTGGTCTGTGGTAATGTGATGGGTCGCTGCGCGAGAGGAAAAGTGACTTATTCTACAGGAGATATTTGATGAGTCTTGTGGGATTGGCATGGAGAGAGTTGATAGATGCTAAATTGAAGATATTGCGATCAAGTTTTGGACAAATTGTTATACTATGTTGGAGGGTTGTGTGTCCTGAATGATAACTTGAAGGATGCTGGCGATACGGCAAGTAGAATAGGTTATCTCCAGACAGCTTGCAGTCATACTTCACTGTATCTTATAGTCCATATTATCATGTTATGAATCAATGGCATAGAAATCCTGTTGCTGCCAGGCCAGGGCAATCAGAAATAGTAAAGTCTACTAAGATCCATCATCCATCTGACGGCCCGCAGTGCAAGTCCCGACTAAACTCCGGATTCACCCCCGCCTTGATAACGCAACAAAGGAATTACTGTCCGGCTGTCCCGTTCGAAAGACAACCATGGATCTGCAAGAGAATCGAGAACGCATGCGCCGCGGCGAGCTCTACCATGCCTTCGTCTCCGATCTCACAGCTGATCGAGCGCGTTGCGCCAGTGCCTGTCGCCGCTTCAACAATGCAGGTGACGTGTCTCGTCGACAGTCCCTCGAGTTGTGGAAAGAGTAAGTGAACATAATCGAGTATATGCTCCCCACGCCGGAATACAAGCACGGCAGGCTCCACACGGATGGAACAGTCGTCCACGGCATGGCGGATACAGCCGGGCTGACAGGAACAGCATCGTGGGTGATACCACCCCTCTCCCGCCTCCCAGTCAGGATCCCGCCGAGGATGATAAGCTCTTAGCGAAGCATCCTTGGATCGAGCCTCCCATTCGCATGGACTACGGGTACAATGTGAAGGTGGGAGAAGGCGCCTTCATCAATTTCGACTGTGTTATTATCGACACCTGCTTGGTGACCATTGGGGCGCGCACCTTGTTCGGTCCCAAGGTCAGTCTTTATAGTGGCACGCACCCTCTTGATCCGGCCGTGCGCAATGGAACGGAAGGTCCAGAATCAGGCAAAGAAATACATATTGGTGAGGATTGCTGGCTCGCAGGGAATGTGACTGTGTTGCCGGGAGTGACGATCGGAAAAGGTGCGGTTATTGGGGCTGGAAGTGTGGTGACCAAGGTGAGTTCGAGACAGCTTACCATTCCTGGTATTTTGTGTGAGGGTCGAAAATGGTCTTTGCTGATAACGATGATTGCTATGTCAGGATGTTCCCGCATTTCATTTGGCTGTGGGAAACCCAGCGAGAGTGATTCGCAAGATTGAGACCTCAATGAAGGAGTAATTGGATCTTGTTAGTTGCTTATGCTCTCCCAGCGATGCATCTAAAATAGGGTTGGGTCGGTCGTGGTTAATTTTGCACTTGAACACTGAAATTACCCAACGATCGTACATAAATAGATTTATCATAAACAGGGATCTGCCGACTCGGCACAAGTCACACAAACATTCTTCTCTACGTCCCCGACGCGCAGGGTTGGGGTGTTAATTCACCATGATCGACAGCACAGTGGGGACGGAGAAAAAAGGGCCCTGGAAACAGGCAGAATGGGCTGCTGACACTTGACAACGGTGCCCGAGTCGGAACGCACTAATTAGCAATAATGGGTTGGTTGATTTGCTGGGCGTGATGGGAGATAACCCCACGCTAGGAAATGAGCTGGAAAGCTTCAAGTGGAGATGGGGGGCAATTAAGCTCCAGGGCAAGAGAGGGGCTCTAGCTGGGTTTGGAGTAGGCAGATGGAGGCAGATGGAGGTTGGCTCGCCTAAGCGGCGGGGAGGAATGCGATCACGATGTGCCCCTGCAGCTCCCCTGCCTATCCAAGTACAGCTGGCAGGTGAAAAGGTAGACAGGTAGTAGGTACCTTCGCTAGGTACTTCTGTGGACTTAACTATCTTTCACTGTAGGTTCAGCTGGCATACATCTGGCAGTACCGTTCAACCTGGCGCCTCCTCTCAAATATTTCCGTCTACTTGGNGAATTTCTCCTAGGGCTGGCTGGTGGGGACAATGGGAAGTCAAAGGCAGGGGAAAGCCATCACCAGAAATTGAGGCATGCACGAAATGAAACAAATGTCCGATAGGAACACTTTGACGTTATTGATGTCTTTCCGCGGATGACAGAAGTACCAGCCAACCGTAACACAAGCGTTTGGGTGAAATTCTTAACGAAACGAGAGCATTGGGATGGGCGGCTGCTTGCTATGCGTCCTTATTTGGTCTGGGCCCAATGGCACCGATGGATTTTAGTTTACTTGGGTGTTAATTAATCCTGTTGTCCAGTATTCGGTTCAATTCATATTCTCCCCCCCTCAGGGTGATCTTCGCTTTGTTGGCAGTCCAGACCGAGTCCATTCTCACTCCATGCGTGAGCAACGAGGGAACCATTACTACGCATACAGATGAAAATTGGTAGCACAATTAATCCAGCGAACCGGATTGAGGGAGCTTCCAGGTAACAGTAGCGACAATACTACTACTTACTATTCCTAATACTAGGCAGATGCAATCTTGGCTTCTCCCCCCACCAACCAAAGCTAACTTACTATCTTCTAGCGCTGCAGGTGAAAACCAAAAAGGGATGTATCATGGAGTAGTAGTAGATGATGGACGGAATATTCCCGAAATAAAGATGAAAAGACAATTTTATTAATTAGAGATATGTTACAAGAAGGACCAACTAGAAGAATGATAAATAGGTCGATCGAAAGAAGATTAAAAAAAGAAGAAAAAGAGAGTAAAGAAGAAAGTTCGTTATCCATATTCTCATCTTTTTTCCAACCCTTCCAGGCCGATCCCCGATTCGCCCTGGACACCCGCCAATCCGTTGCTCCACCGCAACGTCAGAGCTGGACCTTTCAGTTAGTTCTTCTGCTCTGCTCATCCTCCATCTCAATTCTTCACTGTCGCATTTGACCTGAAGCAGTTGCTCCGCATCCCGCCATCCCTTCTCCAGCTAGTAGCTGTTCGTTCAGCTTTGGTCGGTCATCGACCTGCCCTCTCTCACACACTCTCTCTATTCCTCTTGGGTGTCCGAACAGCTATCGCTTCCCCGATCGCTGCCTCTGCCACCCCTCCCTCTCAGCTGGATTCCTATTTCCCGCATTGTTCTTATCCGCAACCCGGCTTTGCTCTTCCTCTCCCACACACATTTTACTTCCCTTGTGTGCGGGCGCTCGGTCTGCCGTCATTTTCTTCCTTCTTACAATTCGCCCCTAGAGCCAAATTAGATTCAATCCTTTCCCCCTTCCATTCACAGTCTTGTCGCGTCCCCCATCGGCCGGGCTAAGAAAATGTCATGGCAGCTGCCCCGCTAGACAGCTCTAGCACCCCGCCTGAAACAACCTCCTCGATTGATTCGACGCGTCCCCTCGGTCATCCCATGGAAGAGTCGGATCCTCAATCCACTCGGAAACGCCCTCGTCTCGACAGTGGGAGTGGTACCTGTGAGTCTAGGTCCATTCCCGACGAAACTGCCGCTACTCGATTCCCCAACGACATCCCGGATGCTCCTGCCACAACGGGTCAGGACGCTTCTCCCTCCTCTCGCCCGGCCAGCCGAGTGGTCATCAAGCTGAAGTCCCCTGTACCCGACAACATGGCGTCTAAGCCTGGTGACTCCCCGGTCGAGCATCCTAGCGGTGGTGATCTTCCCACCCAATCCGCAGCAGGCGAGACCGGCCTCGACGCTTCCACCGCCATATCGCTATCATCGTCGCCCACACAGAGCCCAGAGATAGAGGTGGCAGACTTGGAAGATATGGATCAGGACCCAAATACCTCCAGCTGGAAGTCGTTGGGGGAGGCGATGCGCGAACCGGAAACCCCAGAGGTAGTGCAGCTGCATGACCAGCCGCCGCTGACGGAGACGTTCCCCAGATTGATCATTGGAAATGAGCTGCGGGAAAATCTGGAGGAGATTTGTGCGATTATTGAGAAAGGTAAAGCGCTTCCTCTATTGCCTTATACTGGCTCTTGCCGTGCCAAGTCTAACCATTTATCCATAGGCTCCCAACATGATATCCCAGTATTTCTTGCCGTGAAAGCTTGGTTCGACGACGTCGCGAACAATCTGGATCAGTTAACCCCTGAAGTGTTGGCGGAGGACCGGGACTTCTGGGAGGAGCTACCCACCGTCGTGGATAGCTTGTTGCGCAGAGTGTAAGTGGCTTCTACTTGTTTTCGCCTTGGTGACACTCTACGAAGTTTGTCGATCAACCCCGCACATCCCGAGTACTAACATCTTCTTAGCGTGGAGTTCCTGCCGGATGAGGGGCGGGGGGCATGGGCTTGTTTAGAAGAGTTCTTCCTGGATTTCGCACATTTGGCGGTTCATGTTATTGACCTAGATACCATCTTCTTGACCCAGGCTGTGGACGACGCAGAGGCTCAGTTATCAGACCCATTGTCGAAATCCTACCTGGTGTCACTGGGTTGGATTCTGCAGCTGGCCAATATTCCGTTCTTCCGCACCATGGAGAATATACACGGATCGGACGTAGCGAATCTGGTCGCTCGTACGAACGATCAGATCGCTGCTGCGCTAGACATCATCCATCACTTGTCCGATCATGCCGCCTGCGTTCTGAATCTCATTACCCGCTGGTCTCAACTTTCAACGTCTTTGATCGCGATAGTTACTATCGTGCATAATTTAATAGATTCAGGGAACGAACGGCGCAGGTATCGCGCGGATGATACTTTAATAACTTCCTCCATTTACTCTCGCACTCTGAGGCGTGCTTACCCATTGATCCGCGCCGCAGACGAGAAATACCAGTTTCACATAACCAAAAAGTCTCCTTGGGTGTCGAGTGAGACGAGCGAATCCATGCTACGCCACATAGCTTTCTCCTACACTACGCTATGCGATCGTGATCTAGAGCTTGCTTCAAAAATCGCTGAGGATCTCGCGATAGAACTGCCAGAAGATGTAACACCCGAGGATCGTTCATCTATCATCTTCTACGGTTGGAAGTTTGGCGTCCTGAAGAAGCACATCATGGATGGGCGCATGGAGCTGCGTGTTAATGGCGTGGAAACAATGCAAGCAGAACTCGTCCATATCTGGAGGCAACATATCCACAGAAATACCTCAGACAAAGTTCACCCTGTGGTTCAATATCTTGTGGGCTTTCTACGACACAATCGGATCGTTGAGTATATTGTGGGAATTGATTCTCACCCTCAGCTCATCAGCAGAAGTGGGAACATTGTCGGGTTCCTGGTCGTCACAGCTACATATACCGATGCGGACACAGACACGATATGGGAGACAGTAACAGAAAGCCCAGATCCTCGAACTGTATCCGAGGTGTTGGGAATGTTGAGCAAGACTTTCCAGATGCATACCTCGAATTCGCCTGCGTTGGTCTATGTGTGCTCGAAGCTGCTAGATCTTCCGTTGGCGCGCTTTGACGCACGAATGGTAGACTTCTGTGAACAGCTGCTCCACCAGGTGAGAGAAAAATGCAGCGATAGAAGTCATCGTGAATCCCAGGACCAGATTCATGTGGATGCAATTCCCCTGCGTCTGTGTGTGCGTTTGATCCGTGAGAGTGCTGGTGCCAACGACTTCCCTGTCGAGCACAAGGCCCTTCTTCAGAAGTTCGCGGCTGCCCAGCTGAGTTCTTTCATGGACATCGGTCTGAGTGAGGTGGACAAAATGGAGATATATGAGCAGTGCCTTAAAGACATCGCTGAGATGAACCAGTTTACTGTTGGCAGCATCCAGGCTCTGAACGCCCTTCTTCCCAGCAATGATTCTTTGGAACTCCGCAAGCTTGCCGAGGAATTCGATCTGACTCGCTTGGTGATCACAGAGTTGGCTCATACAGTGGACATGAACCAGACCGACTTTACTGATCCGTTTTCTCTAACCGGATTCTCGTCAAGGGTCCATATGCTGGCCCGGATCATCAATATGGTCTCGGACTCAATAACCCCGGACCTCGGTGATCTGCTTTGGCGCAGAGTCTTCATGTCGAAGTCTCTTGCGCAGCAGGGCAGACGCGCCCTATGGGACATGCTCTGCGGAACTACCCGGTGTAGCGCCCAAGCAAACTCATTCATTGAGCGCTGTATTCAGGTCTACCTACCCGAGCTCTCGCCCGCTGAAGACTATCTTCCGGAGGTTCTTCAGTTCGCGAAGCAGACAATCAATTATGAGGTCCGGTTCAACCCCCCGTCAATCGCTGGCGAGAACGAGGTGGTAGCGATACCGGGAATGGACCGGATATGGAGCTTTATTCTCACGGCCCCCCCTGGTACAATTGAAACTGACGCGATCACTTTTGCAATTGAGGTTTATCTTGATCATAGCATCATCAACCGGTCTCCACGTTCGGCTGTTGAGGCTACCCACATCGCTCTGGTGGACCGTTGTGTGGATCAGCTCAAATCTGCGGCGTCGAGGCTGAAGGCATACCACGACAGCTCAGACACGGCTCAGGACGTATCCATGGACGCAGTTGCATCCGATAAAGATGTCAAGGCGGAAGAGCTCAGATTTAGCCGCTCATTACTTTTTCTTCGCCGATTCCTGCAGGGGCTACGGTGTCGTCCTCAGTATAGTCCACCGCAGAGCTTGCCTCTTGATTCACCCGGTAAACCGGTCCAGGGGGACGCAATCGATATCCGCTACCAAACATTCAATGGAGGCACCCAGTCTAAAGTTCGCTCATTGCACATCGGGGATTTGTCAACCGCTGCGGAGCTTGCAGAGACTCTCGTGCGGGTCACAGGTTTCACCAAATTCAGTACGATCTCTGGTGGACAGAGGATCGATCTTCTTGAAAAGCCTGGCATTACCATTCGGGACCTCAAACTCGGCTCGGGCCTACTTCTTATCCGTCGGGACCCAGAAAGTCGTGAATTGGCCATGGCTGGTAGACGCCAATCTCTGACCCTGGTTGATTCTGAAGTACTGAAACACTTTGACGACCTTTATGATCTCCTTGTCCTCGAGGATCATCTAGCACGCGAGGTGCGAATATCACCTTTCTTATTTGTTTTCGGTAACTGTCGGCTGAGTACTGATTCATTTTATTAGATATATGACTTTCTCATCGTTTTCCCTCCCCAGGACAGGGTTCTGGAGTTGGTTAAGTCGACGGACAAGACTGAGGATGAAATGTTCCCTATGGACAAGCCGTTCAGCCTCCTTTATTCAGTCAATGCGCTTTCAGTTTCGTTACGTGAAGAGACTCTCGAGGTAAGAGTATGATATCCCTGTGGTGTACTTGGCTAATCAAGTCGCGTCGTTAGGCATCACCAAACCAAGACTATGTATCCCACAGCATCCGCGTCCTAGTCTCTGCCTTGACACGGTCTGAGATGGCAGATGGCTTGAAAGATAGCCCCACCAAACTTTTATTTGCAACGCACATGGTCGAGTGCCTCCTTTACGCGCTTCTGGTACGACCAGCTATTCCTGGTGAAGCGCCGGTGGTCCCGAATCCAACGGCATTGGCTCAACGACTCTTCCATTTTATGGAAGTTGCGCGGTTTCTTCCTATTTCTTGTTCTTCGGAAACAAGCATTGCTAAGCTAATCTGTAACTCGTTCGCCGTCCTGACCGAGGGCTCAGTTCGGGACCTAGATTTTTGGGAAGCTGTCAAAGAACAGCCGCACTTTGATGAACTTCTTTGCTCTCTTCTTCTGAAGGAACATCGTCAGCCCATCCGGAAAGGCATTGCAGAGAACATTGCTGTTACCTGTAGTCCTTCCAAACTACTCAGGAAATCGACGAAGCCAATCGATTCGGAGACACAAGAGACACAAGACACACCAGCTCCTGACAATGCCATTCGAATTGAGATCCTTGCAAAGATCTGGACTGCTTTTGACAAGACTTTCCCCGCAACGCTAGATTATGCAGCACAATGTCAGGAATTTCTCGAAATTGCCAACCTGGTTTTCCGCTCCGTTGCTGAGAGATCACCGCACGACCTTTCATTCAGCCAATATCTGAAGCAATGGAGCACTACCATGCTGCGCCATCGAACAGAAGAGGTCTGACTTTTCCTACTCTTTAGTTGCTAATTTGCTAACCTTCCTATAGTTTGTTGGTCGTGAGCCTGTAGACCATCTCATTTTGGGCTTCGCTCGTCTTCTGAGAATATGCCTGGAGCTGGCAAGTTCTAACGATACC